CTTGTCACTTGGAGCTGCCGAGACCACGGGGCCGACCGTGACGACGGGCGTTGGGAGGCTGGCTAGGACGCCACGGGGCGCGTCCAAGGGGTCATGGGGCATGGTTGGAAAGCCGCCCATGACACTTATTATGTTGGGTAAATTGCCCAATTTGTTCTCAATGTAAGGGATAGTCATAGTTTGCGTATTATCTACTTTATCTCTATTTTGTCAATAATTCTTATTGGATACTGCACCAAACTCATGGCATGCCTGTCATTTTAAATTGATTCAAGCTTTGACGCCAATCGAATTTATTGAAATTGTCCACACAAAAGACGAAAAATTGAACTATTGAATCAGTCAAAAAATATTATATAACATAAACTTCAGATTAAAAAAAATTCAAATCTCATTAACCTTTAGTGTAGAAAAAATTGAACTATTTGATCACTCAAAAAATATGTGCAATAAGCTTTCTTATAATTTCTTTAAATTGACGATATATATAACTTAAACGAATAAGCCTGAACTAGGGTCTACTCGTATTTTCATAACTCTTTTCCTGTTGTTTTTTTTAGTAAAAACAATATAATTGAAAGTCCCTACGTTGCCCCCAAATGGAAAAGGCAGAAAGTGGCATGGCACTTTCAAGTAACGCTGCTGTTTTTCCCTCTCAGTATGTCTAATTTTGGTGTGGCTGGAGGGCAGGGAAGAGGGAGTGAGGGCTTAAAAATGTAAGGGAAAAATGAAAAATGAGGATCCGACCTGCCGGATTCGAACCAGCGACCTAAGGATTATCTGCGAGTTTATCGACTACAGTCCTCCGCTCTACCAACTGAGCTAAGGTCGGAATTGTTTATCTTCCATCAAACAATGATACTCATATGATCGGTATTTTCCATATTATGCCATTTTATATTCACTAATTCTTGGTGTATATCTAATATATAGAAAAGAGAAGTTGGTAGACCAAGGGTATATTTTTAATTTCATCTGACCTTAATTGAATTTTTATTGCTCATAACACGTAACCTTTCTGACATTCTTCATCTATAATCCTCCACAGCTAAGTCCTCCAACTTTCTCTCACCTTTACTTTGTCCAATGGTCCTTCATCTTTGCTTCTATTTGTTTTCTAATTATTTCACTGCGGTATCCTAATGGTTAGCATCTTCTTACCCATAGTTTAAGACAAAAGTGAATTGGTGAGGTATCTGCCAAGTTTTTATGTTTACTTGTAATTTTAATTCTTTTCAGTTCTTTCCACTCTTTATGCTTAGACTGATGCAAAGGGACTTGTTCAACATTTTGGACTAATATTTCTTATTAAGTAAATAAAATAGAAGATTGAAGTTTGACTAAATGTGGTGAAATCGATGACAGATTGTGCTCTTGACATCGGTGGTTTAATGAATCAAGAAGGAATCAGACTTCGAATGCAATTGTGTTTTACAATAATGATAAAATTGTGTGCTACTGCTTTCTAAATACTTGTGCCGATCAAAGAAAACGCTCAGCTTTGTTCTTGCGGGATGGAGCACTTTTGAAGCTTTCATATTGCTGAATTAAAATATTAAGGTATAACCCCTTCAATTGCTGTTTTTTGAAGTGCTTCTTTGTTTTTATTTCTTTTCTTTATTTATTATATTAATAAGATAAATGTTGACTACTAATATTGAGGTGTTGCTCTTTTGAAACTTTGATTTCTTTTGAGGTGTAAAACCGGTGAAGATTTTGATAATTGAAAATTTTAATATATAATCCCCTTTTAGATTTTTGTTTACATTGCCCGACTGTTTTGCGCATTGATTTCTCACCTATGCTCTTATAGTCTTGTTCTTTCTCATACCAAAATTTGTCTCTTCTGTTGTTTCTCTTTTAATTCTTCTTCCTAATCTCCTTTTGAATGAGGTTTGAAGTTGATCCATTGATCCGAAATGATAACTTTTTATTCTTACTTCCTTTATTTTGGTATTTCTATTATTAAAATATTATCAGGAGTTGCATATATAATGTGCTTAATTCGTTGTTGTAATCGATGTAGAGTATGTGATTTTAAGATCATATAGGTGATAAATTGATAATTAGTTTTTGAATTATTTTATAGTTTAATCGAAAATAATAATAAGAAAGGGTATTTTCAGCTAGCATCTTTAATGTACTAACATACGTTAACTCTTGTTGATTAAGGCAACATGATATGTAGAAGGTTGTGAGCTTATAAAATACTCACGATATGATTTTTTAAAAACTAGATATTGTTGCCCGGTCACGCCACGAGCCACATTAGGAATGCCTTTAAAGAAGGATTCTATTATGTCGTGTCCGCATTCATATTGCATATGCTTAAAATTCTTTACTACTAACTTACTAGAAAAGAACATGTTGCCTCAAGCAAATCTACATGAATAGAATTATCCTCTTAATTTCGAGCAACTATTTTATAATAAAATTTGTTTAATTCATTTCAGATGTAACTGAAAGAACAAATATTGACATACTTTACTTTTTCGTTCTTTTCTTTGGCACGTAATATAATTCTAATTCGCAGTCCAAATCACAAAAAAAGAGGAATAACTTACCAGTAAAAATATATAGAGTAGTTACGGACAGTTAAAGAGGAGAATGATAAGTGGGGAAGAAAATATGTTTTTAATATATTGAGTAAGGATTTTAGATTCAAATAATATGTCAAATCGTATGTGCTCAAAACATAAGGCTTATCAATTTGGATATATCTTTCTAAATAAGATACCAACTAGGATATTTTACTGTCATTTTTTTCGTTCAATTGAAATATATTTCCAAAAGTTTTAAGAAAAATACTGTAAAGGGCATAGAATTTGGTAAAGTGGACAGTTGACAGTTACAGTGATGACAATTATAAGAAATGTATCTGAAAGTTCATGTAGAAAAAGCATGGAGGAAGTCACAGTTCTGGTGCTTCTTATGGATATGGATAAATATGATTCTCTCTTTGAGGGGAATTGCTGCATCTAATAAGAAAAATTAATATTGATTTATATAAAAGAGCCATATTTCGCCATCTCTTACAAAAGATCATTCAATTCTCTACTTGCTGATTTTTGTTTCTAATGCATTCTAAATTCTTAGGTGTGCAATGATGAAAATGCGTGTCTAGTCTATATAAACAAAAAAACCTCAGGTCAGTCAATATATTCAAGATTTTTATTATGAGATTAATATCGTTACTTTCTGTATTTGAATTGCGCATGCACAAAGATGAAATAAAAGACTAACTTTTTGTGGATCAGTTGATAGGTTGTGATCAAGTTGAAAGAGTAAACACGTTGGTGGAGCTTTTTTTAAAATGATAAATATAAATTCTCTCCCTACACGTTGGTAAATGGTACATGTTGATAAGTGTGAAGATCAATCTTCTATTTGTCACATTCAGTGCTATATATATATATATATATATATATATATTCATTAGTTTTATCTGCACTTATTTTCATAATTATGACCAATATATGTCCCTTTCCTTTTCTTTATTTGTCCTTTGGGTATGTCGATTCCTTTCAAAGGTTAGTCATGATAAATTGCATTTCATCATATTTTATTCGTGGTTTATTTGTAGGTTGTGTTTGAGACTTCACTTCAAAAATTGGTGGCTCGACTGAGTTGTTTTTAAGAAAAACACTGGGATGCATGTGTGTAGGAAATTTAATCAAGTGAGTTTAGAGTGATATAAGAGACACAATGTGATATTTTTTATTAGTTAAGTGATTTTGTTTGCAAAAACTTGTTCCTCTTGTGGAAAGTGAATAGTATGACTTTTCACATTTTTGCCTTTGCACAAATAGAACAAATTGTTGATGGTATAAATGATACTGATATTATTATCAAGTATATGTATCACTAAAACAGCTGGACCTTTCTAGAACCATAGTCATCTTGCTAATCCAACGGACTGCATATTTTTAGTTTTGTCAGTGTGACTTCTTACTGGCCAATTTTCTGTTTCTGATATAACGTACCGTCTTTGGTACTACTACTATTTTACACGATCCAAGAACTTCCATAATGTTTGCATGATTCGATTTGAGCAACATATCCTGACGTGATGCATCTTCGTAATGATAATAGATTGAAAACATGAGTTGATCCATAATGAGTATTAGATTGAAGTTCTCTTAAAGAAGACCGCCAACTCCTATCCCAAAGATAGAAAGCGCCCAATCCTCTTCTCTTATGTCGAAGTGTAGTGTAGTGTGGTGAGGTTTTGCCTCACAGAAAGAGTGGGAGAAAAAAAGCAAGAACTTAGAATCTAAAAATCAAAAGAGATTTTTTTACATATTCTCTATCCTTTGTTTCTCATTTAGTCAGTTCGCCAAATAAATATACATTTATCCCAAATTATTGACGTCTTCAATATCATCCATCAATTTATCTTTACCCAGAGCATGAAAACTAATTGCTTAAATTTGTGATCTTTAGTTATATAGTTTGAGGCAAACTTAGAATATAGTATTGACTTTCGTGTTGGGCCCGGGCTTTGCACGGGCATACCTATCTAGTATTGGTTAAAAAATAAGATTTCAGCATTTGGCTAGAATGAGGATGTTGATGTCGTTTGCGTGATGACTGATGTGAAGAACGAAATGTAACCTATACTAATCAGTTTGATGCATCGGCTATATAAAGCTTGAAAGAATCAGTCATACAACCATCATTTTTCACATATTTGACGTTGTTGAGAGGTCTGTACCTCACTTGATTTCTTCGAATAAAGAAGATCGGACAATAATTGTGCTTCCGACAAATGGCACATTCATGCTCATATATTCTTATTGGCAACTACGAGAGAAGAAACCATAATTTAAGTTATGACTACTGCAATAGGTCAACTATGAAGCTGTGACGTTCACTTAAAGGACCGAAAATACACAATAAATTAATGAATTGGACCTGAAAATAATATAAACTCGTGAATATGAACTTCATTATGCCTACAAATCACAATTAGAGTTACAAGATACTAATATTTTGCCTTCAATGGTTGGACCAACAGAAAAGGCACGTTGGTTGATATAAACAGAGACGTTACATTGAGGTTAGTGAAGCTTTATGGCTCTCATTTGGTGTCACCTACTTCCTTGCATCGGTTGCATTTACCTTTAGAAAATGATGGTCCGTCGTCTTCAGTACTAGAGCTATATCTTTGAGACTTTATTTTCCGTGGTATCATTTTCTTGCTGTTGAGTGTTGACAAGCATAGAGCTCCAGGGATACATTCCTTCGCTTTCACGCTCGATTGATTCTCTGTCACACTGTTCATCAATACAGGGTGAGACTCCTAGCAGTAGTAATCTAACTGGCAACTTCTCTTCTCTAACTGACTGTATAATCTCCACATAAACACCTAATCATTTGGTTTATATATAGGTCCTTCACAGTTTATTTAATATCTTGATAAAGAAATAGCAAGTGCCTGAAGCAAACTAGCTAAGAAACAACAAAAACAACAACTATTACTATACATCAATTCCAAACTAGTTGGAAACTTATAGACAAGGAGAAAAAAAATGATTATATATTGATGAAATGAGACTAAGAGACAAGATTGCCATAAACAGCATTATGCAGTGGCCCAACAAATATAAACCTGCAAAGCGTGCAAAAGGAACAAAGAACTCAACTTTTTATCAAATACATGAAAATAGCTTCATCAGATCAGAAGTTGAAAACAGAAAGAGCAGAATCCAAAGGATTACAGCCTGCTAAAATGCTCAATATACTATTGTGGGCATGTTGGTACACCAAACAGATCAAAGTACAGTATTTTTGGTGACACCGAGAAAAAATTATACCTTTTTCTTCTTATTCCTCCTTTGCTTGTCTAGAGCAGAAGTTCTTCCGATCCTGGACATCTTTATACAAGTGGCCTCATTGTTTTGAGTATTTATTGGCATTATCTGTTAAGTCATGAAGGTTGCAATGCATCAAACAGATATCCTCTAACTTCTAGATGTCATTTAAGGCAATAATTTCTTTACTCGTGATATGAACTATATATTGTTTCGCTTCTCGCTATTTGAATTGATAACTTTGGAGAGTTTCAACTAGAGAGAGCTTGTCCGGCAGAGACAAGGGCAAGTATAAATATTGAGATCAGAAAGCGCTCATGAGACTATGTAAAGCGCTCATGAGACTGTAAACCAGAAAGCAAAATGATGCTACATAAATAAGTTGGTCACCAAGGATTCAGCAAGAATTGATACCTCGCAATATGGACTATATTTTCCTTTCACGCACGAAGATAAGGTCTGCATCCACAAGTAAGGTTCAGACTTCATTTTTTGCTCAACCTCATAGAGCATTCCTTCCTCAGCCTCAAACATCTGTGCAACAACTTCCATTTTTGAAATGTCCTCTGTAACAAAGAGGCTGCAGCTACTTCCACACAGACAGTTAAAAGATTCAAAATCTGCATAATAAAGTTTTGTCTTTGTTAAAGAAAGAGGATATGGGGATTGGAGGAACCAGGAAAAAAAAAGATCAAATGTTTCTCAAAAATTGCAAACAGGTTTTAAGTCCTATGGTGCGTCGACCTGCAGAACCTGTTGCTTGTAAATCAAATTGCAATTTTCTAAAGTAGAAGCTCATTGGAAATGTTAGCAAGCATTGAGGTGTTTAGCTAGGTACCATGAAAAAGGCATATGGGACCATCGAAACATTTGCATTCAATGTATGCCACGTAACATAGTCGTCTACAGAGGACGCAGACGGATGATCCTCGAGGTTTTAAACACATTCTAAGTGAAGTTCTAAACTTCTTCAAGCACCAGCGGGCATGGTGGTACGATCTCAATAGGCATGAAAATGAAGTCATTACACAACGAAGGGAGACTAAATCTGCTGAGCAATAAGGTATGTGAGTTAAAGACTCTGGGAGACTCATTGCTTCTGCACATAGGAGCTCTTCATAAGGAATAATTGGAACCTTGCCAAGAAGAGCATAACGTTCACATGCTTCAGCTCCAAATGGAAACCATTCACCAATTGCAAAATTCACAGCCTCGCCACAGTTAAAGCCTGCAGGAACAAGGAAAATTAGTTGTATGGGCAAAGTAATATCCCCCAAAATTAATTTCAGGTTAGACTAGGAGCTTCAAGATCTAACCATGACTAAATCCTGAATGGTATGCTCTAGGGAAGGTAATAACAAACTCCCCTGGCATTTGCACAGCCTTGTAAACGGGGACATCATATTGCAGCAAAATCTTTGGAGAAACCGTTGTTGTTTTCTCTTGAAGAACGTTAAAGACTCCATTGAGCCCATTTTCTGATAGAATTTCCTCATTGTAGACATGATGCCGAATAAGATTCTCAAACTGAACAGCTGCATGCCCAGGAACTCCATACCAAGTTTTGGGCGCCCCACAATGATGATAATTAATGCTGAGAAAGGCAAAAGTCAAGAAAACTTGAAGAGATTAAATGGATGAAACATCTAAGAGAATGTTGGTAACCATAGTATGACTTGCCTATAGAGGTAATGATCCTCCACATGCCACGCAAACATACTAAATAGCATCCCAATGTATAGCATGGGTTCAGTTACTCCCTGAAACAAATAAATGTATCAAAAACATTAAAGCATTTACTATAATGCTGAATTGTTCCTATAATATACAATCATACATTACCGGGATTTCGTTTACTATCAAGCGTAATGTGGATCTTCGCAGCCGAGGTAGTATCTGCACAGATGAATAACAGTAAGATATTGGATGAAAAGGAAAATGTAGATTAGTCAGACACTTGCAAATCAAATGGGGCTTGCACTAAAGGAAGCAACACGCAAAATAGTAAAATATGAACTCCAATTCAGTTCAAATCATCCATGAGTAGCATCAAGCTGAGGATGTTGTCCATCTATAACAATGAAGAAAGATGATAACAGAAGAATGCAGAAGGACGTTAAAAAACTAGCAGAAAACATTTATGTAGAACCTTGAAATTCCATTTGCTACTTCCAAGAGGATCGCTGAAAGTGCTTGAGAAGGCACTACCATCTATATTGATTCCATACTCAACCATTCCTTTCTTTGCATGTACCATTTCTTTCCAGAATTCCTTTTCCACATATGCAGGAGGAAGGCATCCAGATATACAGTATCTACGAGCTGTTGCCTTGTTTGCCATTATCTCAAAATCACGGATAGTATAATTTCTGGAACACAAAAAAAACTCATGACACATGCCAACCATATATAATCCAAAAGAAGTAACAAGACAATTTCGATAATGACCAACATTAAGATAGCAGTGATTTGTGCTGCAATAAAACTTAGAAGTACCACCATTTTTGTGATGATACTTGGCTATTCTGCTGAACATCACTTATTATATATAGTACCTTCCTCTCATGAAGAAGGAGATCTTATCGTTGTTATTCCATTCAGCAAGTCGCAGAGGTTGCAGCTTAGTGGTAAACTTAAAACCTTTTTGCTCTTTCATCAACACTGCTCCCGGTGGAACAGAAGATCCCAGAGGAGAGACAACCTTACAAATGCCTATAAATTCAATAAAATGCTGGTCAATCAGCAGAAGAACAACAACAACAACAACAACAACAACCCAGTATAATCCCACTAGTGGGATCTGGGGAGGGTAGTGTGTACGCAGACCTTACCTCTACCCTAGGGTAGAGAGGCTGTTTCCGATAGACCCTCGGCTCCCTCCCTCCAAGAACTCCCCACCTTGCTCTTGGGGCGACTCGAACTCACAACCTCTTGGTTGGAAATGGAGAGTGCTTACCACTAGAGCGACTCACTCTTGTCAATCAGCAGAAGATGGACAAAAATGTATGATTACCACAGCACAATAAGTGAAGCAAAACAAGTTCAACTTAACCATTTTACAGTTAGAAAACAACAGAATATAGAGAATAGATTAAAAGTGTGTTATTGAGCTGTTCTGGTTCCTAATCATTCCAAAAAGAGGTGACAAACAGGCAGCAGAAATACGGTCTCCCAAGATAAACACCGTTATGATGTTGCAATCTGCTAGAGCCAATCTCACCCTGAGTTGTAGGAAGCATATGCAGTTCATAACCTTCAAAGCATAATGTCACACCCCCTCCGTCCCAAGTTGTAAGCACTTATCACCAATTGATGGCCAGTTTAACCAATTTTTAGAACAAAATAAAACTAGATTAATCAATTATTTTAAAAAAATAAAGAGATAGTAAATTACTAAGGGTTGCAAATTTTCTCGTCATAGTTCACTCGGTTGAAACCTCAAGGAATAAAAAGTGAAAAAAGTTAGTAGTATATAACACATATGTTGCACTAAAGCTTTTTCACACTGCAATTAGAGGGTATATTAGACATCAAAACAACAAATTATATTCATGAATCTGCGACAACTTTTCACATACATTGCACATAAGTATACTAACATCGAAACAAATAGGATTTGAGTTGTCAACATACCAAATTTTGATGCTTCAAGAGCAATTTTCTGCACATAAGCCAAGGGATCCTCAAATTCTTCCTTCGATGGATGATATACTGGGCATTCTTTGATCGTATCAATCCAATCAAATTCACTCGTACTAAGCTGACTGACTTTCCTTTTTTGAGAAACTTTTACAGGAGAAGGGCTACGATAACAAGATTTCTTCACTTCTCTTGCAGGTTTTGTTTTGGTTACTTTCTGAACATCACAAGAAAATGCTGTATCCCAATTCGAAACATCTTTACGCTTACGTTTTGCTGGAATTCTTTTTTCACTTAATAATCCATTCCCTGCATCAGCCTGCAGCAAGGACTAGGAGTAAAATAGTTGGACGGACCATGCCTGAACATTTACATCTATAATACTGAGGAAAAACATGTAATGTTAAAAAAAAAGTGCAAAAGAAACTCATATTGGCAGGACATAATTTTGAAAGAATGGATCAGAGGAAAAAAGAGAATAAAACTGAAAAGATGATCAGATTGCCTTTCGCAAAATAAACTGCCAAGACATGTTTTGAGTCTACGCTTAATACATTCAGATCCAAACGCCATAATATGTTCTTATAAATTAGGAATCTGGAAAAAGTAAATGGACATGCAAAGATATGGAGTAGAAGGAAATCGAAGAATTTGCAGAAATGCAAACATTTACTTAAGATTGGAGCAAGTTTAAATTTCTTGGTGTATTAATTAGTACTAGTAAGAAAATTGATCAAAGAATCACACAAGAAGTGAAGAAATCTGAAAAGACATACCATTTCTTCCGTGCTTTGAGAGAGAGAGAGAGAGAGAGTGACGCTGAAGAACGTTAACAAGAGAAATCTCACCGCCGTTTCAAAGATTTCAAAAATGGATAGAACGTTGCAGTTGTTGGTTATTTATACCTTTGCATTGAGGCTGCGGTTACCCGGATGCGACCCGACCCACTTTATCAACGAGATATTGCATTTTCATGCAAAATTAATTGTTAAAATTCGTTTATGTTTTATAAAAACCTTCTCTTATGAGCTTAAATGAAATTATTGATTCTCTTAGTTCCTCCCATTTCACGTTCAAAAGAAGAAGAAAAAAAATGCTTCGATTACTCGATATTGTTGTCCTTAAACTTGAGTATTAAAACTTGTAAAGAAAAAATTAAACATTTTAACGCAATTAATTCTACTTTTTTTCGAAATCATTGTTTGGCCATAAAATTTTCAGTTTTCACTTGAAAATAAATTTTGAAATTTTCGAAAATTTGAAAAACTCCAAAAAACTGTTTCTTAAAATTTTCACTCAAATCAGTCACAAAAATTCAAAAACAGCCCAAAATTATATTCATATCCAAACACAACTCTAATTTTCAAATATCATTTTCACTTGAAAAAAATAATCATTTTTTCGGAATTTTATAATTTTTATGTCCAAACACTCACTTAATTTCATACTTTGGGCATAGTAAGTTAGTCCAACTATTACGTAATGAATAGTCAATCTTTGTTTGTACTTTGTACGAAAAGTAGTGATGTGTTTATACTCCCAAACTTTTGTTACATTTAGCATTCCAGTAATTAATATTTGACCAATCTATTTAGAATGATATTCAATGTAGATAAGTATGTCATTTTAAAATATTATAGAGGCTAAAATTGCTTTGAAAGCACTATTGCTATTTCTTTTTTCATATTGAAAATACTACAGGTTAATTTTTCCATTTCTACATAACATTAAATTGCTGTAAAAGATATTGGCCAAAGAGTTATATCTTTGACTCTAGACATATGAAAAATGAACCATATATTTTGGTATCGAGAAAAGATTTTCTTACTAACTTCTGGGAAAATCTACACAATTAATATACACATATAATATATAAATTATGCAAATATTATATTTTTACTGGTTATTTTTAATTTAAATAATTAGGTGGGCGGCTATTTGGGACAATTCTTCAAACAAGACTAGACTGAGTAATAGGTGTTTGGGAGGTGATCATAGAAGCTGAGGCATTTGCAAAGTGCAGTTAATTACGACTTCTACAGAATGGACGAAAAAGTTGCTTATTTTTTTTCTTTTTCCCTTTCCACACAAACGTACCAAAATTTCATTTCTCTATTCTGTCACCAACTTTGAGTTCAACGACAAAAAGAAAAAGAACAATTTATCATCTATAGTACTTAGAATCCGTTTGGCCATGAAAAATATTTCACTTTTTTTTCGAATTTTTTTTTTTTTACTTTTTTCGAAATCAGTGTTTGGCCATAAAATTTTTAATTTTCACTTGAAAATGAATTTTGAAATTTTTAGAAAATTTGAAAAACTTCAAAAAATTATTTTTCAAAATTTTCACTCAGACGACTCACAAAAATTCAAAAACAACCCAAAATTATATTCATGTCCAAACACAACTCTAATTTTCAAATATTATTTTCACTTGAAAAACTTTTTTATTTTTTTTCGAAATTTTACAATTCTTATGTCCAAACGCCTACTTAGTACTCCTTCCGTTTCCATTTAGTTATCGATTCTTGAGAGTTAAACTACATGAACTTTGACCACAAAATTTAATATGTATTTTTTTTACTATATTGATATGAGAAGAATTGAAAATTATATAGTTTTAATTATAAAATATTGAGATAATTTTATTCAATTTAGCTTTATATATTAGTCAAATTGACCAAGGAAAAGTGAAACAAGACAAGTATATAGGAATGGAAGGAGTACAACTCATACAGTAAGTGCAAACTCTATTAACTGTGCCATCTTTTTAAAAAATACACTCTCTCCCTCTCTATTTATCTCTCTCACACACATATTGAAGTCTGGTTATCCATTATTGTTCAACTCCAAAACTACTCAAAATTTTTATGTTACTACCAATCCAATCCAGTTAGTATATAGGGTGAAATATGATATGACACGTGGCCGTATAAAGGGAGGACACGTGGAACCCAAGACGGGGAAGGCCAAAGACCGAACGCATTCATTTGGCTTGTCACCGGAAATGATAACGTTCATAAAGGTGTATTAAATGCTCTGTGTCCGGTAGCATTTAATAGAAAATATTCTGCAGCACTAAGAGCGACGGTCCGTTACAGAGAATTTGGCATTTATGTTCACCGTTACGTCTTCATCAATGACCCTCATAATTGATATTAAAGGAGGACACGATCTTAGGACCTCCTTCCCTAGACATAGCTATAAATAGTGAGCTCATCATTATAATGGATACGAATTTTTTGGCAAAACTTATACTACATTTTATACAAAGCGTAATGCAATCTTACTTTCTTGCTTTTTGATCTCATCATTGTTGTGCCTGAAAACCTTATTCCCGGAACTGACATCTCTGTTGTTTCATCTACATTTCAAAGCTAAGTATTGTATATTTCTTCAATTATTGTAATTATTTCAGGATCAAATTAGTTCACTTGTCTAGAAATCACGTATAAATTCAATTGTGTATCATTTTACGGGTAAACAGTTTGGCGCCCACCATGGGGCCTAGACAGTCGTGCAATTAAATTGATCATTGCCTTTTTTACTAACGCGGTTTGATTATTTTGTCTTAGAAAAAAATTATAAAAAATGGCAGATAACATTGTTAAAAACACGCACAATCCTGAAATTCGAAGGGATCAGCCTCATTTCGAGGATCCAATCAGTGACACCCACAATGAGGAGAATGACGCCATGCCGGTGCATGACATACAATACCCTCGACAGGTTCAGGATACAACTCCCGATGATGCTGATGAGGAGCATGTCGTGGATGCGGTGAGGGTCCTGCAAGAGCAACATGCAATCATTCTAGACCATCTCACGTGGCAGGATCATGTTATGATGGAACTGAAGCAGGCACTATCGGGGCAAGAAAAGTACAAGCCCGGAAGGCCGACATATTCAGGATCGCATAGGGAGAATCTGAATTATTACGAGAGTTCGTCACCTGATTCCAGAAAGAAATAATGTTGCTCCCGGTTGTCCCGAACGAATGGGCAGCTGAAGCATTCACCAAAGGATTGAATCTTAGAAGCTTAGACGTGTCCCGGAATCTGAAGGAGAGCTTGCTTAAGTTTCAAGCAACAACTTGGGCAGATGTCCACAACAGGTACTAGTCAAAGATAAGGATCCAATATGACCAGGTCGGTTCCACATCATTGGCCAAAGGACGGGAGAAGAGCAGAGAAAAATCAAAGGATGACTACGACGCGGACAGACGGACTTCGAGGGGCTAGTTTTTGCCCTACGAGCGGACCGAAGGTCTTGGCAGAAACTTTTGGGCAGCAAACAAATTCATCGTTGACAAAGGGACCGATCGTGGTCGAAACAATAGATCACTCCAAGATAAAGAGACGTCGGGGTCTCGGGATCCTTCTTACCCCAATTTATCGGAATATAACTTTAACGTCAGTATAGTGGAGTTGGTGTCAGCCATGAGAAACATTAAAGAAGCATGATTCCCGAGACCTATGAGATTCGATTCCGGCCAAAGAGATCCCAACTTATGGTACGAGTACCATGGGACGAACTGTCACCGGACAGGGGACTGCCGGCACCTCCGGGAAGAAGTGGCTACACTATTGAAGAATGGTTACCTCAGAGAATTTTTGAGTGACCGAGCTAAGAACAATTATGGTCGTAACAGAGACAACGCAGAACCTTCGAAAGTAGGAGAAGAACCCCCATGCCAAACGATCAATATGATCTTCGGAGGGAATGAGATTAACGGGGTCACCTTTTCAGCAGCGAAGAAGATGAAAGTATCAATAACTCATAGTAAAAGACTTCGGGAAAATGATATCACTTCCACGGAGGAGGACGTAGACGGATTATTGTTACCACACAACGACACACTGGTAATTTATTTAAATGTATTAGATTTTAAGATTAAACGTGTTCAAGTGGATTCAGGAAGTTCGGCTAATATCATACAATGGAGAGAATTGGAGCAAGCTAAACTCACCGGAAGCATTATTCCGACAACAAATCTCCTTGTTGGATTCAACCTTGCGAGTGTGATGACCCGGGGAGAGATTTTGCTGCTCAGGAATGCTAAAAGAGTAATGAAAACAACTCTCTTCGAAGTAGTAGATAGTGACATGGGATACAACATCATCCCGGGAAGGCCATGGTTACACAAGATAAAAGTTGTACCCTTAACATACGACGCCTGGAGGAATCAAGAAGATAAGAGGTAATCAACCGGAAGCAAGGAAGATGAATGCAATCTCAGTTTCCAGTAGCAAAGGGAAGAAATGCACGACATAGCAATTACAGGAACTGGCACCTACTCCTGAGCTAGAAGGAGTTAGCTCGGAAGCAGAGTCGTCAGAACAATATCAGGTGCCGAGATATTTCCAAGTTCCAGAAGATACGGATGCAACGAAGTCCGCGGCAGAGGAACTGGAGCAAGTTGCATTGTTCGAGGAATTCCTAGAAAGAAAATTCCATCTGGGGACATGACTGCACCCGGAGCTCAGGTCTGGTTTTATTGAATTCCTTAAATTTAATGTTGATTGTTTTGCATGGAATGACAGGTATCCCGACGGAAATAGCCATGAACAAGCTGAGTTTGGATCCCAACGTACCTCCGGTAAGACAGAAGAAATGCCCTATTGCCGAGGCCAGGAATAAATTCATCAAAGAAGAGGTAACCTGCTTGCTTAAAATCGGTTCGATCCGAGAGGTAAGATATCCGGATTGGCTAGCCAATGTAGTAGTAGTTCGTAAGAAGAACAATAATTTTCGCATGTGTGTAGACTACAAAGACCTTAATAAGGCGTGCCCAAAAGACTCGTTCCCACTGCCAAATATCGATCAAATGATTGATGTCATGGCCAGACACGAGTTGATGAGTTTCCTCGATGCTTACTCCGGATACAATCAAATCAAGATGAACCCGAAAGATCAAGAAAAAACTTTGTTTATAATAAATTTTGGTACATATTGTTTACAATGTAATGCCCTTCGGGTTGAAAAACGCCGGAGCCACTTATCAGCGGCTCGTAAATAAGATGTTTGAAAAGCAAATAAGAAAGACTATGGAAGTTTATATAGACGATATGATCGTTAAGCCTTTGAATGCAGGTGACCATCTTAAGCATTTGAAAGAAACATCCGACATCCTGAGGAAGCATAACATGAAACTTAATCCCGAGAAGTGCGCGTTCGGGGTCAGTTCTGGTAAGTTTCTAGGATTTCTGGTATCACAAGTTTCTGGGATTTTTGGAAAAATATCATCGCTTCTTCACACTGCTCAAAAAAGAAAAATAATTTCTAATGGACATCGGAGTGCCAACAGGCTCTGAGGGATCTGAAGAAGTACTTATCGAGCCCTCCATTGCTCTCAAAACCAAAAGAAGGTGAAATATTGCTAGTTTACCTCGCGGTTTCAGAAGTTGCGGTAAGTGTGGTTTAGTCCGGGAGGACGAAGGTATGCAATTTCCCATTTATTGCGTTAGCAAAATTTTAACGGGAGCAGAAACTCGCTACCCACATTTGGAAAAACTGACCTTAGCTCTCGTAGTCGCCGCTCGGAAGATGAGGCCCTACTTCCAATGCTACCCGATAGTTGTGGTGGCTACTTTTCCTTTGCGGAACATCCTTCATAAAACCCGAGCTCTTGGGCAGATTGGCCAAATGGGTCGTCGAAATGAGTGAGTTCGATATAGAATCTAAACCAAGGACTATAATTAAGTCGCAAGTCTTGGCTGACTTCGTGGCCGATTTTAGTCCGGGACTACTGCCTATGGCAACCAAGGAGGCAGTAATAGTATCGAAATCGACATCGGGGGTTTGGACCTTATTTACGGATGGAGCTTCCAACGTAAAGAGGTCTGGACTCAGAATAGTCTTAATCATTCCTTCGGGGGAAACCTTAAAGCAAGCCATCAGAACGATCCTTTTAACTAACAATGAAGCAGAGTATGAAGCTTTGATTGCAGGGCTGGAATTGGCCCGGGGACTTGATTCCGAGGTTATTGAAATCAAATGTGACTCGCAGCTGTGTATTGGTAAAAATAAATGTTACACTTGGAGTTAATTATGTGGTTGACATGGAAAGGCACGTGGATCACTAGAAAAGCGACAGCTGGAGAGGAGCACTAAAAAGACACGAGTCGCAGAGGATACGAACAAATCACTCACGAGGTGAAAAGAAATGGTTGCTCGAGTCTCTTTAAGTTATATGAAGAGGTACCTGTGGAATGAACCAAGACAGTAAAAAGGGCAGATTCATGGATCTTCAATTAATGAGCGTGGATGATTACAAACGTTACAGAATCTTTACGAACGGTTACGATTACCAACTATAACGTTTTATTAATGTCATTAATGCTCATAATGAATCGGTCTTAAAAGGGGAAAAATGTTATACTTGAAGACCTCTATATAAGGGAAAGAAATATCATTTGTACAGACACGTTCTGATTATTATTGGAATATAATTATTTTCTTGTGCTTTCTATTGATTACTTTGTCATTTCTTATTCTAATTTGCTTTCCTATTTCTAAGAGAATATTGAATTTCTTGATTATCAGTAACCCGAGTACTTCTAAAAATAGGCTTTGACTGAGAAACTAATTCTTTGGTTAAACAAATTGGTTCTGTTGCCGGGAATCTGATAATCTTCTCTTACTTTCCAAATCACTCTCTCTTAACCGAATCATGTCGAATGTCAATGACAACAACCAGCCAGTGGAAGGAACTCCAGTTCTGTCACCTCAAGGAACCCCACGCAATACAAGAGAAGCATCACCATAAAGATCCACTACTCATAACAATAAACAATATGGAAATGAACAAACTGTCGAGTAGGATGTTGTGAAGAAGTTAATTACTGAGTACGTGAATGATGCTCTCCAGGCTTTCGTGGGTGGACTACCAGCTGTGCCACCCACACCTCCACCAAACAATACTGCAAATGTGGAAATTCCATGATCAGGGTTGGCTAATTCTGGAAGCGGAGGAACTCCCAACGAGTCACGTGATGGGAGACCGGGTACGCCTAATAATTCTGATTTACAAACTTTAATACTAACCTTGCAGAAACAGGTGAAAGAACAAAACGACCGTATTGAGCAAATACCCGGCGTACCACCTATGATCAAAGGAGTTGATTTCGACAAATATTCACAACAACCATGGAAACCAAGCGCAACTTCATTACCAATTCCCAAAAAGTTCAAAATGCTTGATATCCCGAAATACGATAAAATGGCCGATCCACGTGACAACGTTACTGCATTCACCATGGGAGTAAAAGGCAATGATTTAACCAAGCAGGAGATTGAATCTGTGCTGGTAAAAAAGTTTGGGGAAACACTTACTAAAGGAGCGTTAATATGGCACTCTCTTTTACCTGAAAATTCTATTGACTCTTTTGCTGAGCTTGCAGATCTATTTATAAAAGCACACTCGGGTGCACAAAAAGTTGAAAAGAGAATGGAGGATATATTCAAAGTAAATCAAGGAGATACATAGTTGCTTCGAGAATTCGTAGATAGATTCCAACGTGAAAGAATGTTGCTACCAAGAGTACCTGACAATTGGGTAGCCATGGCATTTGCAAGCAATTTAAACGAGAAAAGTTCAGAAGCTACGAGGAGGCTTAAAGAGAGCCTACAAGAATTCCCTGCCACGATATGGAATAATGTCTATAATAGGTACATTACCAAGTTACGGATCGAAGACGATATCGTAGCTCAGTCAAGGGTTGAAGAAAAAACAGGTTCGAGGCGGTCAAAATCTGAGAAGAGGTTCGGTAAGAATAGGTACGAGCCTTATATGGGACCTTCGGGGCGAGAAGCTCGTTCCAAATTTGAAAACATGCGGGCTGATCACAGGTTCACAAATAGAGATTCAGGTTCGTCATCGTCGAGATTCAGAAAAAAATGAGGTGAACGTAACAGAGATGCTAATACAAACGCAAGGATTGGGAATTATAATTTTAACGTGAGTACCTCCGAGTTGGTCGTTGTTTTAAGAAGCATGGGGGATAAGGTACGATGGCCTAAAGAGATGAGATCAAATCCAAATAGAAGAAACCCAGACTTTTGGTGCAAGTTCCATAATGATCACGGCCATAGAGCATCAGACTGCAGATTATTACAAGGTGAGGTGGAACATTTATTGAAGCAGGGCTATCTGACGAAATTGTTCAGCGAGAAAGGCAAACAAGATTACATGAAAAATAAGCAAGAGCCCCCAAAACCTTCGTCTCCAAAGAGAACAGTAAATGTAATAAACGGCGGAGAAGAAGTCAACGGCATAACCTATACAGCCGTGAGAAAAACAACAAAGTTCATAATAACTCACAGGAAACTAACTCGCCAAACTCTGGAAGACGGCAACATAACCTTTGATGATGCAGATGCCGATGGATTAATGATTCCTCACAACAATGCACTGGTAATATCTTTACTTATACATGATACTGATGTAAAACGAGTTTTGATTGACTCAGGTAGCTCTGTGAATATCATTCTATTACGAGTGGTGAACGAAATGCTGATGGGCGATCGTGTAGTTCCAAAAGCACATTCCTTATCTAGGTTTGATAACTCAACCGTTATTACAAAGGGCGAGATTGAACTAAGTACATACGCAGAAGGGGGCATCAAAGAAATAAAATTTCAAGTGATAGACACGGATATGGCCTATAATGTGATTCTTGGGAGGCCGTGGATTCATGATATGGATGTTGTGCCATCCATATTACATCAGATTATCAAATTCCCTTCAAAATGGGGAATTCAACATATTCGAGGAGATTGACAAACTTCAAGGAGCATCAATTCGGTGATACGGCCAAGTCAAAAAGATACAAATGCAAGTCAAAAAGATACGAGTGCAAGTCAAAAAGATGTGGGTGCAAGTCAACGATTGAGGAGCTTGAAGTTGTTCCACTATTCGAACAATGGCCAGATCGAAGAATTCATATCGGAGCAAGGTTAAACCTAGATAGGAGAGGTAAGTTAATTGAATATTTAAAAGCTAACGCGGATTGTTTTGCATGGTCCCATTCAGATATGACAGGTATACCTCCGGAGGTGATGACTCATAAATTAAATGAAGATCCATCATTCATACCTGTCAAACAAAAGAAGAGGAAGTAAGGATCATTCAAAAATCAAGTGATCGATGAAGAGGTACAGAAACTCTTAAAGATCGATTCAATACGCGAGGTAAAATATCCTAGTTGGTTAGCTAATACTGTGGTAGTTCCGAAAAAGAACTGTAAATGGATAGTTTGTGTGGATTACACTAACTTAAATAAAGCATGCCCGAAGGATTTATTCACGTTACCGCATATAGATCAATTGATTGATGATACCGCAGGCCACGAATTATTAAGCTTTCTAAATGCGTATTCTGGTTATAATCAAATAAAAATGGACCCCTTAGACGAAGAAAAAACTTTATTTATTACAAACAGGGGGGCTTATTATTACAAAGTCATGCCTTTTGGCTTGAAAAATGCTGGAGCCACGTATCAGAGATTGGTGACCAAGATGTTCCAAGAACACCTGGAGAAGACGATGGAATGTACATTGATGATATGTTGGTTAAATCTACACAAGTGGAAGATCATTTTCAACATCTTTTAACTACCTTCGAGATCCTCCGCAGATATAATATGAAACTAAACCCAGAAAAGTGCGCTTTTGGCGTAGCTTCAGGTAAGTTTCTAGGCTTTCTCGTATCTAATAGAAGAATTGAAGTAAATCCTGCACAGATAAAGCTATTGAAGAAATACCTGATATACTCATAAGCAAAAAGGGGCACAAAGATTGACATGTAGGATTGCAGATTTGGGAAGATTCATTTCAAGATCTTCAGAGAAAAGCGTTAAATTCTTTTCAGTATTGAAGAAGCAAAATCAGTTTGAATGGACTGAGGAATGTCGACAAGCCCTCAAAGATTTGAAGGCATACTTAACAAATCCTCCCCTACTGTCTAAACTAAGGGATGGAGAAAGACTATTTGTAAGTGCAGTTTTAGTAAGGGAGGACAAAGGCAAACAATCTCCTATTTATTATATTAGTAAATCTTTATTAGATGCTGAAACTAGATATCCTCATCTAGAGAAACTAGCTTTAGCATTAGTCATGGCAGCTAGGAAATTGAGACCATATTTTCAATGACATCCTATCTTCGTAGTAACTGCATATCCATTAAGGAATATTTTGCATAAACAAGAATTGCCAGGCAGACTAGCCAAGTGGGCAATAGAACTAAGTGAATATGACATTATTTATCAACCTAGAACAGCAATAAAGTCTCAAGTTTTAGCAGATTTCGTCACAGATTTTAATACAAACATAATTCCTGAAGTAGAAAAGGAATTACAAATTTTTAGTGGAGCTAATCCAGGTACGTGGACTTTATTTACTGATGGCTCTTCAAATGTCAAAGGAGCCAGTTTAGGTATTGTCTTAATCCCACCCTCAGGTGAATGTATAAGACAAACAATTAAATGTTACCCTATTACTAACAATGAAGCAGAGTATGAAGCTGTAATTACAGGTTTGGAACTAGCACGAGAACTCTCCATAGAGCAAATCATGATTAAAAGTGACTCTCAACTGGTAGTCAATCAGATGCAGGGGACTTACACTGCTAAAGAGGCACGAATGCAACAATACTTGGAAAAAGGCACGAGAACTGGTCAGGCAATTCCAATCATAGAAGATCGTGCAAATACCCAGGGAAGAAAACGCAGAAGCAGACGCGTTGGCTAACCTTGCTTCAGTTACAGAAGTAACGCGTGAATAAAATGCTATTGTAATATATTTATTTCATTCAACACTTGACCAGGATAAACATGAGGTAAGATTTAATAATTTAACCTGGGATTGGAGAAACGAGATTGTTAATTTTTTGTAGTACGGGATCGTACCTGAAGGCAAGAAAGAATCTCATGTGCTTCGACGAAAAGCTGCTCATTACTGCCTAATTCGAGATAATTTATATCAAAAAATATTTGGCGGTCCTTTAGCAAGGTGCCTTGGACCCAATCAAACGGAGTACGTGATGAGGGAAGTACATGATGGACATTACGGAAATCACGCAGGTGGAAGATCCTTAGTTAAAACACTAATCAGGGCATGATATTACTAGCCTAAAATGGAAGAAAATGCGGAAAATTTTGTAGCCAAATGTGATAAGTGTCAATAATATGCCAACAATATGCATCGATCTGCAGAGTTATTACATACAGTTATTTTCCCATGGCCATTTATGTAATAGGGAATGGATATAGTAGGGCCTTTACCACAAGCTAAAGGAAAGGTACAGTTCTTATTAGTGTTAACATATTACTTTTCAAAATGGGTAGAGGCAGGAGCTTTCAAATAGGTACGAGAAAAGGAGGTGAAATACTTCATTTGGCGAAACATTTTATGCCGGTTTGGAGTTCCAAAAGAAATCGTATGTGATAATGGCCCACAATTTATAGGCTCAAAAATCACGGAGTTCTTTCAAAGTTGGCAAATCAAATAAATAACCTCTTCACCTTACCATCTCGTGGCAAATGGACAAGTTGAGTCAACAAATAAGATTATCATCAATAATTTGAAGAAGAGACTAGAAATATCAAAAGGGAATTGGCCTAAAGAATTACCAGGAGTGTTATGGGCTTATAGAACCACAACAAAAACAGCCACGGGAGAAACTCCATTTTCGCTTGTGTACGGTTCAGAAGCTTTAATCCATTTGAAATAGGAGAACCAAGCACGAGATTCACATTGGCAACGGAAGAGTCGAACGATGAGGAATTAAGAACAAACTTGGACTTACTCGAACAAAGAAGAGAAGTAGCTTTAATACGGATGGAAGCACAAAAGCAAATCATAGAACGATACTACAACAGAAAGGCTCACCTCAGGTACTTCAAAATTGGGGACTTCGTTCTTAAAAAGATTTTCCAATCAATGAAAACAACCGGAGCAGGAAAGTTAAATCCAAATTGGGAAGGACCCTATAAAGTTCGAGGTATCGCTGGAAAAGGTGCCTACAAGTTAGAAACCATGGATGGCAAGGTTTTACCCTCGAGTTGGAATGTTGTTCATTTAAAAAAATACTATTTCTGAGCAAAATAAATACCCACGGTCAGGTATCGTTCAATTACGAATTTTGTTTTGAACAATTAAAATTATACTAACAATTTTAGATGATAGGCAAAAAGCTAGCCTACACCAAATGATGATATTAGACCTGAAAGACACGCGGAAGCAACATTATTCCTGGTCTAGGGTTGCAACCTTTCTGATGGAAATATAAAGGGTTAAGCAGTCATCATCTTAATTATATACACCTCCGAGTCCCGTATGTTTTTACTTTTCAGGAAATGGACCATATGGAAGGAATAATCAAGTGCTCGAAATTTCATACTTCAAAGCTCAAACACTTGGGGGACTATATATATATATATTTATATATATATATATATATATATAAGGAAGGCAAAGAAGACTGAAAAAGTCAGAATTCAAGTCAAGCCTATGGTATACCCAACAAATTGAAAGTTAAGAGCAAAGTCAAGAGCCAAAAATGCAAGCCTGATTCAAAAACCTATGAAAAATATACTCGTGGATATAAATTTCTAAATCTTACGAATGGCAATATTTAGTCATGGGTTTCAAGATATACCCTTGAATTTTGTAAAATCTATTGTAAAGAAAACAGTTACGAAAGAGTTATAGATGATACTTGAATACATGTAAAGTATTATACAATTTGAAAGTTCGAAAGATACAAAACTTCCTCAAAGTTATTCAAAGAAACGTGTGTGTTCCTATTTCTTCTTTCGTATGTTTACACCATTATGAAGTTGAGACGTCTTCTTCATTAAGTGTCGTTTATAAAAGAGCCCTCTTTTATAAATCGTGCTTGTTTCAAAAAGTTACGAAGTACTGAAGCATTTTTAATGCCTAAAAAAAGAGTAGTACAGAAACTCGGAATAAAATATCATAGAAGTTGAACAAAAACTTAGAAGATGATATTATAATAACTTGGCTAAAACTAAGTATGAACTTAGTTCCAACCTAATTGTCTTATACAAAAAACCCCAAAACGGAATAAGGGTAAGATTTTCCAAAACATTACCCCCAAATGGGACGAGGGGTAAATCTCCAAATGTTCCACTAATAAGAAAAATAAAAAAAACAAAGAAACATTTCAAACTTTTAACTTTCACTGTGGGGCGGAATCTGAACCGGTAGGATGAAGAGTGGCATCATCACCAGAAGGAAGAGCAACTTAAGCAGGAGAAGGTTGAACAACAGCCTCACCAGGAGCGATTTCATCACCCTCGGGAATGCCAACCTCAGTGAAGAAAAGCTTTGACTCTGTTGGGTCTTTTCAATCGTCTCTCTAGTCTTTGCAATCTCAGCATCTAAGTCAAAGCCTTCCTGGCTTACTTCCATTAACGTTTCGAGGCGAGTGTTCAAAAAAGCCCAGCTAAAATCAACAGCG